AGCACCACCAACACCCACTCACCATTGTCACCTTCCAGCTCACTGTACATTCGAAAATCAAACCAAGAAAACTCGACCCCTATACTCAAAAATCATTCCAATAAAAATAACTGCCCACGCCCACCACCACCAAACTGAAAACAAAAAAAATCAAATTCATCTATACCAACACGTTGCCACATTGATTTTTCATTTGGAACGTCTTCAACAGCCGCAAATAACCATCGCCACCAACTATTAGTTAACGCATGAGAAAGGTAAACATACAATCAGTGCAGTTGGTACAGAACATCTACTCCAAGTAACAAGAACCCAGATCCAAAAATGACCACCTAGACCAACACTTTTCCAAGCAACACTGTCTCCATTACCTCTCCATACGAGTCAAACTCGGTTCTTGAATTCCACAGAAGCTCGACTCTTATTACCAAAAAGGTAATATTGAATTGTACCACAGCTGGTATAGTATTTGAGGATTGAGATTTGTGTTTAGATGAAGATTTGATCCCTATTTCAAATAGTGTGGATGTGCCGACGTTGTGTGGTTGGTGATGGCAACGACGATGGTGACCATGGTGTGGGTGGATTGGGGAAGTAGGAGGATGGGTGATGGTGATTTATATTTTGAACGAGTTAATTTAATGAACAATCACTGAACTTTAAATTGGTTACCACTTACTCACTCAACTTTAACGCGTTACCGAATGGTCACTCATCTTTCCTAATAATTAACCATGCATCACTCAGTAGACTTCCATCTCTTCAAATTGACGGAAATGTACACGTGGCTCACGGTTTTCTTACATGGCAAAAACACCCGTTAAATTGACAACCTGGGCACGACATTAACCTATTTAACTTCACGCTTCTTCCCCTTTTCACGACATTTCTGCCTAAATCCCTAAATTGAACGTCCAAGGGCTTCCCGGAGCAAGAGCTCCCGGCGCAAGGCCACCCAAAATGATGGCTCCAGGCGCAAGGCCACCTGGAAGGAACCCGACGGTCGCATCATCTCCACGACCACGAAGGAAGCCGCCAAAGCCCTCCAAATCGACCACCAAAATCTGATCTTCCAACAAGAGGTACAGTGACCGCCAAAATCTGATCTTCCAAATCGAGTCCTGCCCTCTCCAAACCACAATGCCATTCGAACCAGTCTTTATTGTGAAGAAGCCCTCATCGCCCAGCTCTGACATTTTCGTCCATTCTGAGGTCAATATAG